ACATCTCACCGACCAAATGACTCTTCACACGCCCCCCATCATCCACTACGCCCCCTTACTTCAACAGATCACCAAAATTGCTCCCTTCCCTTTCAACATTTCCATAACTCCTATGCTCCAAGGTTTGTCATATGCTCTTCCTAATGAGTAATGATCTGGACTCAAGAGAAAAATAAAAAACAATCACGTATCTCGTTTACTTTCCGGGTCATGAGCGTCTTTTCATTTTTCCGTACTACCCTCAAGCCTATCTCGCTTCTTTCTTCATAACTCCCCATCCACAGTGCCTACATCACCAACAATCATATCTATGCATTCGTAAGAACAAGAGCTTCCCATTACACTACTCAATATCACCATTCGAGCATTACACAACGAGTACTCTATTATACAAGTACCGTTGTTACCACCTTCATCCAACTACTTTTTCACGTTACAACATAACTCCTTCATTCTTCGTTACAAAATTTTATTAACAGTTATTATTACAAGGAAATCTATCAATCTTACACTATTTATTGAAAGTTCATTACTCGATCTTTATTGTAACATCAATTACTTTGACGTACTGTACAGCATTACACAACTGATTATACCAGTCTCTTAATATAATAACTTATCAACTAATTTTAATCACACAAGTTTTTTAGCTTCAAAGAAACTCTTCAAATGTCTCATTTGCCACGTACCCATAATCAAAAGAATAACAGTTTGAGTGATAGACCACCAAAGAACTCGTTGATTTGTACTTTCTGACGTCAGCCGGAATCTCTCTTCTCGATACTACAATAACATTATTAACATATCTTATTTCCAATTCCCATTTTACTCTTATATTTAATAGACATATTTGTATTATTATTACCCTTTGGTAGTTTTGTTCCTTCGTTATTTGCTCCACTTGATCTAGTAGCTGTCTGATACGCAATTGGAGTTTGGATAATTTTTCTCGTTTTGCCAGATTTGCATAATCAATCGCATGATCACCAACTTGAATATCCAAATGTACCCTCTAATATATTAAAATAAATCATTATTATACTCTACAACATTACTCATATTTATCATAATAACAGCTGTCGCAACGTACCAGTTGTGTTCCACTAAACCATGCTGTACTGTTGGAATACAAACAAATAATGTGTTCTCCAGGTATATGAGAAGTAAATGAGATACGACCTTCTGAACTATAAATCCTAGAAAGAATGACTTTATCGTCTGGATCTCGAACTTCAACGTGCATTCCAACGCCAGGACTACTTGGCATGAATCCACCACTTCGAGGATCAAATAATTCAACTTTGTAATGGACTGTAAATAATTACATTTGTTACAATATCTATTTAAATCAATGATAATTACAAAGAATTCTACTAAAAATATTTATTTACCTAAAACGGCCGTTTCATCTGGAATTTCTTCTATGAAACATTTTCTTTCTGTTTCTCCAATGTGAAAGTACAGTCCTGACACACAATGCGCGAAAACCATTAAAATAAACACGGAAAATAACTTTTTCATCATTTTCATAACTAAATACTATCAATCCTAAGTAAATATATTATTTAAACTAATGGTTTTTTATCAATTTTTACTGAAATTACCGAGTAAAAGGAATTAATACTAATAAAATAGACACACGTCATCCACAAGCCGCCATTGATATTAACAAACTAACGACATCTTTGAATACTTACCAAAATAATATATCAAATTATTTATCAGCGTATGATCAATGAAAGTAGTTCCATACTTTAACCTAACAACTGTCAACGTTGGAGAATATTGTTGAAGCATACATAATAAACACTTGTATACAATATCAAATAATTCTATATGAATTCGTTACACTGTACTATACTTATAATTATTTAAAAATTATCCAATTTACCGATTTTAATATTATAAATCTGTATATATGTTATATATTAACATGGATATACCATTATTAGTTTCTATTGCTGTTGGACTTCTTACGATTATTTTGTTTTTAACACTATGGATAACGAAAAAATCAGGTAAATAATACCTCATGAAATGCAACTTAATCTACTATCTCCCGGCTCTATAAATTTTCTATATCATTTCATTTCATTACATTATTGTAAAAAATCTAATAATCATACTATTCGTTGTTTTTTTCATATGGAAATCTTAAGCACAAGTTATACATCAAACTGCAGATCGACCTCAACCTGTCAGAAGAGCCACTGGGGTACGCAATGCACGCCGACGTATGCAAGGTACAGGAGTACAAAATGATGCTGAAAATGTCCTCGTGAATAATGCTCCAAATGGAGAAGATAATGATATAAATGATGACAAAATTAATATGCCTAGTGGAAAAATAGGAGTTAAAAAGAAAGCTAAACTCGAGGCGAAAGCGGAAAAACGTCAGGCTCGAGAAGTAATGGAGAAAGAAAGAGAAGAAAGGAAGAAGCGAGAACAACATCTCCAAGCAGAAGCTGACAAACAGAGGGAGAAAGAGAAACTTGAAGAATTAAAGCGAGAAGAAGCTGAAAAAAAGGAACGTGAAGAGAAAGAAAAAAAAGAATATGAAGAATATTTAAAGCTGAAAGAAGCTTTTAGTATAGAGGAAGAAGGGTTCGATGAAGAAAATAGAAATGAAGATAATCTTCTTCAAGAATTTATAAATTACATTCAATTAAATAAGGTTGTAATTTTAGAAGATTTGGCTGGACATTTTAAGCTCAAAACTGCTAACGTTATTGAAAGAATACAAGATTTACAAGCTAGTGGAAATTTAACAGGAGTTATTGATGACAGAGGTAAATTTATATATATATCTCAGGAAGAGTTGGAAGCTGTTGCTAAATTTGTCAAGCAACGAGGAAGAGTCAGCATTGCTGAATTAGCAGAAAATTCTAATAACTTAATCACTCTTACACCTGGAAATTTTGTGCCTGTTAAAATGTGTTAATTACTTTATATATTCTATAATACATTCAATCATCTTGTTTATTTTAACATCGATGAATATATATATATATATATATATATATAAAATTTGTTTGATTAAATTTTATGAAAAATCAAAAATCATAATTGATAACTTCCTCTTGCGTGTTAATTCATTTTTGTTTAGATATTTATAGTTCAAGATAATTTAAGATTATAGGAAATAAAAGATGATGATGATGAAAGTTTTGTATAAATTGCAATAAATGTGTTATTGGTGAATCAACTTCCATAAAACATTCAATTATTTCTTGTTTATTGTTTGAGTAAAATTTTGAGATTCTCAATTACATAACAGAAATATCACCTTCTCTTTTGTTCTACATGCTATTTAACATGACTTTAAATAATTTCAACTTTAACTTCTTCTAAAACAAACAAATTTTTATTGTTGATTTACATGTATAATTGAAGAACGAAAAGTTCTTGATATTTATCAGAATCGTCTGTGCAATAATTAATATAAAACTTCATTGCCCATTTTTAAGAAATATATAAAGATATTCCAAGATATATCAGAAAACGTGACGACACTTAAACCAATGTTGCATCAGATTCTAGTTAACCTTACGTATTTACTGTATGGCGTTTCTTATTTCCCTGAATGTATAATTTATCTTTTTAATATTCATCTATATTTCAATTTATATAATGTTACAATGAATTAAATTTTTATCTGTCCGGTTTTCCTTCAAAAGAAAATCCATTGCCTCTTTTATATTTATCTGCTCCTATTTAAAATGTTTTGAATTGATTCAATGGATCCAACTCCATTTGCTATTCACTGTAGTAATAAAAGTTAAAACTCCAATCTTATTGCATTCAAAATACATGAAATTTAATATCTTTTGGTACTTTTCGTAATGATAAATTAGTAATACTGAGATATTTTTTTTTAGTATTTTGCGAATTTTTCAAAACTTGCTTGTACTTCAAAGTCAACATTTAAATTTTCTTTAAAGTTAATAAATTCCAAAATTACGTCAAAATTCGGCATATGAAATCACATGAACATCACGTGAACTTCTTGCCGTTAAAGAATATATTGATTATTTTATCCTAAAAATTCTTTTCATTCACCTATACATGTAGTTAAATTCTTTTCGTTGTCCTAACGACGGTGTTAAGACTCCCTCTGCCTCTTCTACACATCCAGATTCGTGGAGGACAAATAGTCAGTAGAAGGGAGATTGGACGTATAAGCCAGTGGTCAGCTAGGGAGAATCGCAGTCATTTCAATCTGCTCATACAGTTCAATTGGCATTTATATTAATTATAAAGATATATTAATTTTGAAGATCTCCAAGTCTAAATAAAATTTTGGAAAATAATTGAAATTTATTTATCTTTTTTATTTTAACTGTGTGATTGTTCTAACGTTCAATCAGACCTTATGTGTCCATGAGGTGCAAAGTTTTAGATTGTCAAGGAAATTCTCCAACATTTTTAGCCAGTATCAGGTCTGTATAAACTGGTTTTTGTCTTCTACATCCACTTCATGAAAACTTTATTCATTTAATATACATATACTACAGATCTCTATCAGCATTATATTTTGTAGTAAAATGAAGTGGAATTTAATTATGTATTTTTTCATAAATTATTTAAATATTTAAATTGTCCATGATTAACATAATTTTTATATTTTTTTTTTGTCATTTAGGCTTGCCAAAAACCTCCGAACTCGTAAAGGAAGTCGATGTGCTAATTCCGGAAATCGTCTGGAACTTCTGGTTCTTGTTCACTTACATCACGTTCCATAGAGTAATAGATTTAATTTATTTTTAAGTTAACAAATTTAATTTTCTGTAAAACAAAAATTTTTTATTCAGTTAAAAAATAGTATATATAAAATAAAGATAATAAGTAATTAATGTCTTACTTTATAGGGTCAGGTCATTAAATTACAAGAACTGCACTCCACCAAAGCAGTGATCTATCAGAGTTCAAAGTAAAAGTATTATAAAAAATAACGTCGAGCCACTGTTGATCACAGTGAAAGATCAGTCGCTCAAAGAAGGAAAATTTTTCAAGAAAATTGATAAGCAAAATCATATAAATTCATTTCTGGTGCTAAAAGTTTTTTATTAAAATTCAAAATGGTTCACACTGATCACGGCAGCTCTTTGAAGGGCCCATATCAAGAAATTAAGTAAGTAATTATTAATTATTTACCTTTAATTACAAGCTATATAATTATTATAAAATTACGAAGAAATTTAATTTATGGTTAACATAAATAAATGAATTTTATAATTGTATGTGTTTAATAGAAAAGAAAAACAGACCTCAGACCAACATAAAACAAGCTCATCAAAAGATTCTGGAACAAAAATTGACAAATATGGTGTTTGGGGGCCGATCTTCAAAAATAAGCAAAACTTCATCAATATGCACATCTGTTGAAACAATAAATTACTCTGACTTCTCCCCTTACTGGCTACAATGACCCATGATACAATTTTCAAGATTATTCTCTCCAAATAATATTATTTTTATGATTTTACGGATTAATAATGATGGAAGAGAGAATATGATATAATTATGGACAAGAATTATTTCCTTCGCAAAGAGTAACGACTGAATATCTCGTACTTTGACTTTGTTTCTTGCAAATAAAAAAATTGTAAACATGTTTTTATTAGTTAAAAAGCACACTAGTCATCAAATTTATGTAAATAAGTTTTATATACACCGCAGAGAATAGGAATTTTCATATTGTATACATTCAACAAGTACAAAAGCTATTATTATGTTTTAATTAGACCATACTCAATTATCAAATAATAAATATTATTATTGTAAACTCAATAGAAGTTACATTGAATTTTTGCGATATTTCAGTTTTGATTTGTTTTTCTTATTTTTGCAAGGAACAATCGGATTTAACACTGCGAGAACAGTGGCTCGACGATATATATATACATATATATATATATATATATATATATATATATATATATATATATAATAATTCATTTATGATGACATTGATAAAAGTTTAATTAACCTATCTAAATACTATATAATAATCGTCGTGCTTCACAGTTATATTATTATATCATTCGTTATTTTGGCTTTATGTATTTTCCTTACAATAATTTTTACTCATTTTTGTTACTAATAATGTGGTGTTTGTCGATGGAAAAAAAATATGTTTGTTGAATAACTAATTAAAGGTGATGGTATTATCTTGATGTCTGATGTCATAAAAGCATCATTTACCAGTACAACACTGTTTCATAATTAGAGGTGTCTTTTTATTTGTGTTCGATTGACGTAAATTCATAAAGAAAATATTACACTGACTGTGTAAATAATATATATTATTTCTATGATTGCATAAAAAAAAGAGGATGTACCACATACTGAGAATTTATAAAAATAGTTCCTACACAATTGAACACTCCCTCATTAATATAAAAAAAGAAAACTACTAAAAGTTCCGGTCGGAAGTGATGAAAAAATGTAAGATAAAATATTTAATTTTAACTCGCACATATGATTAATGACATTTAAAATATTTCCTTACTGCCTCAACATTTTATTCATGTTCATCTGGATGTAACCATCCTGAAATTGAATATAGAAAAAAGGAAAGAAACAACAGGAGAAGGGAAATAAAGTTAAATAATTTTTCAGCACGTGCTGGTTGATGCCCTATGTCTTTCGTTATAGGAATCGAATGTGTAGGTGATGGATGTGACGCTAATGGCTTTGGGTGATTTGTAAAGAATAGTTTACTGTGGAAGAAAGTGGAAAAAAAGGCAAACGATTTTGTAAAAGGCTATGGTAAAGAATAAACTTTATTTAGTAAGTAGACGAAGAATTTGGTGTTGATGATGAACTAACGCCTACTTTTGATAATTTTTTTTTCCTTATTACGTGTATAAAAGTCTATAGTTTCTACTTTTATTTAGGCAATAAAACTACATACTAAAAATTGTATGTATTAAAAGATAGGCTTTATCATATAAATAATTTTATTCTTGCTAAGAAGATAAGAAAGCAAAAATCTGCACATATTTTTTTATAATATTATAGTAAAGTTTTTTATCGTATTATGTCTAATATATTGTCTTTAAAGAAATTTGAATACTTTATTCTTAGTTTACACAGATGCAGGAAGAATTGAGAAATTAATCTATATTTACACTATTAATAAATAAAATTTTGTATTTACATCATACATTAAAAACTATAACTTTACATATTATTCTAAAATATTATCTATGGTAAATAAAGATAATAAAAGTAATGTGTCACGTTACCTTACACAATTTATATATAAAAGCTGTCGGCTTCCGAGTAATAATCGATAGTAATTTTGAATCTACCCGCACAATAACTTAATAATTCGGATTAAGAATAAATCCGTTTTGTACTAAAATGTGGATAAAATTATTAACTATTTTTATATTTGCAAAATTATGTGTTTCTCAAAAAGTTAACGATATAATTATTGGAAAAGATAATATTCGAAGTTTAGTAGCTGTTTTCCATACTCCTAATAAACTGTCTTTAACTGATGATTTGATCTATGATTATCAGTGTCCAGGAATCTTAATTCATCCACGAGCAGCACTTGTTTTATCTTATTGTTGGTCACAGTAAGTTTTTACTTTTCTTTCATTTTAATATTTCAATATCGATGTAATATAAAGAACTGTTTTTACTTCTACTCTAATTATCATTTAATTTTACTTTATTCTATTTACACAAATTATAAAAAAAAATGAATCCTAAAAGTTCTAAAATTACTCCTGCACCTTTGACATAAATTTTTGGAGAATGTTTTTAAAATAAGTATTGATGTTTAAGCATACGGTTTACTTTAGGGTAACATTGACACTCATCGTAGTACTTTATCTATCTTTCAGTAAACAACTTCTATCTTTTTTATTTTAAACATCAGTAGCATATTGCTTCCTGTATTTTTAATGAAATAATTACATTAAATATTCAAAAGTTAAAGATAATTTTCATAATAAGTGTATTTATATCAAATTTATTTAATATAAAGAATAAAAACAAAGACTTTATTAATAATAATGTTTATTTTTATCTAGCCCTTCTCAGACTCTGGATGCAGTGGTTCGTTCATATGATTGGTTGGGTTCTATAAAAATAGATAAACGAGAAACGTATCAAGAGAGAAGTGTCACGGAAATACTGAATTTTGTTTCATATGATTCTGCACAAAGTACTGCAAGTCATTTAAATATTCTAGTTCTTTCAGAAGCATTCGAAATTAGATCGACAACTGGCATTATCCCATATAATAGCTACTCCAATCGAGGAGAACCAACTAGAAATGAATGTTTTACCATTTATATTGAAGGAAATGTTACTAAAGGTATGTAAATAATAATAAACTTAATTACATATGTAGATTTCCTTATCGAACAATAAAACTTTAATATATTCTTAATAGGTTTATCTTTGAAAACATTTCCAATCTGGCCGACGAATTTAGTAGGCTGTTGTATGAACTGGCAACCCTCTTTGCTTTCTTCTAATGATTTTGCAGGAGAATTGAATAAATGTGTTGCAAAGTTAAATGGGCTTACCTGCTATGAATCTATTAATTCAAGACCTTGCACTGTGAGTATGAATTATTGATGATTTATTTTATTATTTATAAATGATTTTATTATTTATGAAAAATAATTATTTTAGAATCTCGACGCTATGGGTGCTGCTGTATTTTGTCAAAAGCAAGAAACTCCTGGTGAATACTATTTACGTGGATTTCTAGCTGATAGGAAGAAATGTAAATTTGTAATAACACACATTGGTGAACAAAAATGGTGGATTCGTCAAGAGTTGGATTTGTTAGAAGATAATTCTCACATCGAAAATCGCTTATATAAACTCATTACTTCACGATAAGTTTTATCAATCAAGTTCATAGAAAAATATTTATATTTTCATATAAATAAGTAATAAATTTCAACTATATATCACCGTAAAAATGTTAAATTTTTTTTTTTTAAAGATATTGCATTGCACAAAACGAAAATTTAATTAATCGAATAAGTTAGTAAAATATAGACTTTAATGCATAATCAAATTAATAAACAAAACAAAAATAGAAAAAAATTCAATTGTTATTATCGTTTTTCTATCTAGTTTTATTTTGTCATTGTTAACTTTACTAAAAAAAAAGTTTAGATAAATGGAGTATTTCTCGTCCATTAAACTGGACTAATATAAAAACTATAAGAGATAAAACTTCGTATACTCACGTGCCACTGAAAATCTTTCGAAAAATGAAAACAACATTTTCTCTTTTTGGGGGAAACCCATCACCGCAAAAGGGGGAGTGTGTAAGCTTAGACCGTCATCTCGCACGCGCGTCCTCGTGTCGTGACGAAGTTGCAGCTCATAGTGCAGTCGATTCGAAGATCGTCGACGTGACGGTCCTTGGCCTGGAGCTTTTTCTCGTTAATCCAAAGAATTGTCTGTAACCAAAGTATTATTTAAAAGTTATTCTTAAAGTACATTGTGTAGTAGCCACAATAAATAGTTGAATATAAATTTAGACATTATTAATATCATTTATTTATTTATTTTTACAATCTATTATGTGAGCAATTAACATTAGAAATAAATTCATTGAAAAATATTAACAAAGAATTAGCCAAAATAGTTATAAAGGGATTAGTAACAGAATGTTTACTAAAAGTTTTATTGAAATTTAACATTTAAAGTGAGGTGAGTGGGAGTGTTGAAAGAAATTTGTGGAAGCGTGTAAGAATAAAAAAAAAACTATACTGTGACGGGGTAAAAGAGCTGAAATTGTCGTACAGAATGCAAGAGAAATAGAGAGCCTGACACCATCGCTATTTCGAGGCCAAAGTAATATAACAGTAAGTTTCTCTGTCTTCGACTGTTAAACTGATTTTCAATTTTACACATCTAACACTTTCTTCCTTAGACTTGTTATATAATCACTCAATGTTATGAATTAATGATTTATAGAATTCTTTGAATGTTTTAAACATCTTTATTAATGATTTAATATCATTAAATATCTGTATCTGGTCTCTTTGGATATTCGAAACTGGATCCCAATACGACTGGAAACAATTTTTTCTGCAAAATTAATTCTTATTAATCAATGATTTTTATAACAATTGATGGACTATTAATTATATAAAACTTTTTTATTAAATAACATATTTATAAGACGAAGTAAAGTCGAAGAGTTAAGTATAATCGTCAAGCAAGAGTCAAAAATAAATTCGCGTCTTTTTATAAATCGAAAGGGGAAAAAGCATCAAGGGGATACCAATGGTTTGTCTGGAGAGGAAGAAGGTCTTCGCTGGGGGTCTAGTCCTCGGGAGCTAATTCTATCTTTAGAAGTCTGCAGATTCTACGGAAACGTGATAGAGTTGATGTTCTGCAGTTCAAGGATTCAACGAAATCTCATGCAATTATTATATGTATACCATCATTTGAGAAAATTTGAGATCAAAAATTAATGAAAAATAGGTAGGTTTGTTAACTAAAACCAAACGTTTCATTAATTTTTAAATTATTACTCAGCATAGGGAACAATCTTTATCTTGTTAACAATTATTATAAGGGGCAAGTTATGAAAATTAATTAAAATACTAAATTAAAATAAAAATATGTCACATATTTCAAGGTCTATGACAGAGTCATTGGCCTCAGGAAGTAGATGACACATCTCAGAATTCAGAACAGTCACGTTGCTTGGCTGCTTCGAATTCATACCGGAAATAGAATTTTCTATTGAGTTTAACTTTTAAATTTAAAGAATGTTTGTGCGCAAGTGTTTAATTCTTTTCTTTAATTTTTCTATTTTCATTCCTGCCTCATCTGCCTTTCGTTCCGTAAGTCAAGTCTTTTTTCATCCTCTTTTGAACTAATTTTTTAGTGGATAAAGTTTAATTCCACGGTGGATTTAGCATCCGGTTCTACCGTGATACTTAAATGACACAAGTTAAAAGACCTAAACATTACCATACTTGATATTATTCACAACTGTACCGCAGGGGTTCTAAAAGTTAAGGGATCGGTCCCCCTTTATTACATCCTCTCTCTGATGCTCATTCGATCCACGGCACGCGCTTAGACATCTAGAGGAGATGACAGAATGAGGCGTGCATGCTCTTAAGGCAGCTGGACCGATATACCTAGATATAGAGAAAAAAAAAAACTGTTAATATTACGCTAGGAAATCTTGATGAAATGTCAGGGGTTGCGACAAGAAATAATGATATGCATTCAGATTAAATTACTTTGTCAAATGTCTTTTTTCATTAGATTTTTTAATACCTTTACCAATTATGGAGAAATATCGTAAACGAAACTGAATATTGTAGATTATAACTTGAAATTTGTTACAACCCATGTAATTTTTTATGAAAAATATTTTCAAGTATGTATTCTTAAAATGGAATTTCAATTCATGTTCTATGTTTCATTGGTTCTGTAATTTCAATTGATATAAAAATAGAACTAGCGTGAAAAAATGCGATATTTGATCATTTGTTTTTTTTTTTTCATCTTAGATACATCTAATTTTAACTATTTTTTATTTTTAGCAAAATTATTTATCTTCGTGCGAACTTCTTTCTATCTCAGGACTCGGAGTAAATGCGGATGCTTTTTATGTCCTGTCCCACGATTATGCATATTCTAAAATTCACACAGCTGATTAGTCTCGCATATTATTGCCAGTCTCCATTTAAATGAGTAAAAATCATATGAACAGTTTGCATCGTTACTCAACCCTTTTGACAAACAGCTGTCTATCTCATTGGCTTTGATTATTTTTTTTCTAGCTTGATATTATTTCTACACATGTATCTATTATTATGTTACATATTTGTTCGGCCGTTTGTAAAAGACGACTGTCTCGTGACCAAATCTCTGGACTCTGTTGTGAAACAAAAAAGTAATTTTCTGAAAATAAACAATAAAGGAAAGGAAAGAAAAAAAAGAACTTACTTATGAAAAAAAATAGTACAAAAATTGAGGGCGAAAAAGACTAAGAATGAAAAAAAATGAAGTAGAGAATGAACATAAAAATAGATACATTTTTTTCCGGCATTCAATGATTTTCTATATTTCTCGACTTGCCGACATACTTTGTAGCGATCTTTTAATAAAAAAAAAGCTTTCGTAGACAAAATTGTTTTTTCCAAACGTCGCCGGAATTCCTTCAGCTGACGCTACTTCTGCTCGTTGGCGCTTCGAAGAATTACGACGTCTACCGGGGTTCGTCCAGACGTCGCAGACTAAAATAGATTATTTCGCACGAAATTTCCGCACACTCGGCAGTTTTATCTGTAAGAATTGCTTATCTATCTCAATTAATTATTCAATCACGATCAACTTGTATTAATCATTTCCATTGTTTCAACTTTATACACTTATTGAATGAATATAACTATTTCTTATAGTTAAAAGTACTACAGACTTGGCTTATTTTATACATCAGAAAATAAATATTCGTTATCCGCTAATTGATTTAAACTATAAAAAATACACCATAGATGTAATAAACAAGTAGATATATGTATATCAATTGTTCATGTATTATGCTGCAAATTCAATGCAAAATTTAAAGCGGCCATATACCAATACACTTCGTCTTACACTGTTGTAACCGACTGATTAAAATAATTTATGTAGTGACAATTGATAAATAATTAATTGTTTCTACTGAATCTCCAGTCGATATTTCAGCCCTTTATTCCTCTACCGGTAAACTAAATCTCAATATAGAATGATAATGGCATTTATTTTCCTTTTCTTATTTTTCTGTAGGTTTCTAAACTTCAAAGCATAATTCTTTATTTATTTTTTAATTTTCAGGAGGATTTTTTCGAACATCAAGAAAATACGAAATTAAAACAATGAGAGCTCGTGATTCCTTAGTGTACACTCCAGTTTCTCTAGGTCCAGACACAGATGATGAAGACACTCTGGTCAACGAAGAGATCTACAACAATGGTAAATATATTATTAATTATTTTTATATTTTAATTTAATTAATATCATCAATGGTAAGTAAGGCAATAATCACGGGTTCAAAGGAAAACATTTAGACATAATTATTAGGAAGTCAAGTTGAATGAATATAAAGATATTAATTATGTTCAAGTAGAGGTTAGTGTCCTCCTGCCTTGCCAGGCGAGTCTCACGACGATAGGCGGACAAGAAACTGAACTTTCCTCTGTATGACTCATCCAGTCGTCTTGGTTTCCGAATATTCAGTATGTTCACGTACACGTTCTACCGAGTTCTTATATATCACCTCTATATATAAAAAACTATCAAAGTAAACGTAAAAATTAGGCGTGGCAAAAACGAAATAATCATCACACATCGCTTAACTACTTTCCATTTTCGGTGATGACTAATATTTAACGTCTAACGAATTTTAAAATCTAATCTCGAAGGCCAGTTTCAAATTGGCTAAAAAGAATGTACAGTCAATGTCTTTCTTCGTTCTCAATGTTCTTTCTATTAAGTATACATATATTAAGATACAAGGGGCTTCTTTGATTTTTATTTTGTTTGAAAAAAATTGGGTCAGATAAAGTGGAGTACAATGAATCAGTACTTTTATATTTTAGTAATTGTATGTATGTTTATGAGACAAAGCAAATTATAAATGAGTTTATTTTAATTGCACTTATTTCTTTAATTGTCTGTTGTATAGTTGATATCGTCCAATAAGAATATAACAAGTAGTCTTTGTTACAATTATCAATTAAAATCAATTAACTTAGTATTATCATTACATCATTATTACTTTCTTTTTAGCAAGTTATTATTTTTTTATTTTTTGAACCAATTTTACATGAAATAATGTAATACTTGATTCCACTAATAACTCAATTATTTCTTGATTATTATTACTTTAATTTTGTTACAATTTCTGTTTATTAGAAATCTTAACCGGCTTCCCTATGATTAAGTAATTCGGATAGTTCATTGATATTTCACTCTACACAACATGATTATAAATAATGAGTAAAAAAAATTTTAATCTAGTTACGGTTCAGTATAAT